ATAACTCTTTTACCATTTTGGACTGTATCATTTCATTCATATGATAATGACACTGTAGCTCCCCCCTCACCTGCAGCTTCACTTTCTGCAGTTTTAGTTACCTGCGGTCAACCATCATCCAAAAATATTAAATGGAAAATTCTAGAAATAATCCACTCATAAGTTTTAAATTGTGCACTATTCTGGGCAGTGTGCTGAAATGTCGAGCCGTCCTGCTCTGTGTGACCCCGGACGGGAAGCCCCCCTTTGTCCAGCATATCCACGCGGTATGACTCCCGCCCGTTTAGCCACGCAGCAGCCATCTCACTTACCAGATCAGCTGTCTTGGTATCAGGGTGTTTGTGTTCAGGTAACCCTTCCCTTGCTTAATAATGGACCCAAAGCCAAGAGCAGTGATGCTGGCATTCTGGGTTTATTTTATTAGTATTGTTGTAAGTCTCTTACTTTGCTTAATTTATAAATTAAACATGATCATAAGTACATATCTATAGGGAAAAGATGGTATATATAGGGTTCTGAACTATCCTGTGTTTCAGGTATCCACCGTGGGTCTGGAAATGTATCCCCTGTGGAGAAGGGATGACTACTGTGTATGTAAAAATCACACTGTGTGAAATGTTATATCCTCCCCTTTCCTCAGTTTAACGTTTTGAAAGAATTTTCTCACATTACTTGAAAACACTTAGGAAACCATTTTTAGTGACTGTAGTGTTTTACCAGATAGATACGCCATGGTTTACTTAACTATGTTCCTAATGATGGGTGCTTATATTGGATCTAAGTTTTGCTGTTATTTGTAGTGCTCCAATCGGTGACTCTGTGCACAAACCCTTGCCTGTACTGTTGTGTATTTCTCTGAGGATAGATTGCTGCAAGAAAAGACCCACTGAGTGTGAGACTCTAAATATTTGGAAGGCTTTCAGTCTGTTTCCATATTGCTTTCCTGAAAGATTGAACCAGTTTATACTTTGTAAGCAACGGTGTGTGAGAAGATCTCTTTACTTTCCTTAACATTGGCCTTTGTCATTTCTTAAATTTTACTGGTTATTTTGGTAACCAGCTTGTTTTTATAATTTGAATTTCTTTGCTTCTCAGTGAAATAATAGTTTCTTTTATATGAATATTAACCATTTGTTAAGAACCACTATTTGAGTCCGAAAGAAAGGTGTATAAGAAGAAAACTGCACAATTCCAGTAGGAAGGACTTGGGGTCAGGGTCCCTGATGTGTTGGAAGGTTGAACTTTTTGTTGGTGGTGTTTCCCCTTGCCTTAAAAAGTCAATATTGCTTGAATGTTGCAATCTTGGGCAAGGCCAGCAATTAATCTCAGGGACAATGCCACTTTCTTCTCCTGGTGCTGGTCCTTTCTGACAAGAGAGAACATAGTGTTAGGGCTGAGTGCTTGAATGCTTGCACATACGACCCAGAAGGTGCAGATATAACCGGGGATTTATTCCTTGAGTGATATCTTTGTGAGATGACATTTTGCTTGTTATTTGTGTGTTTTATAATGAGGAATCAAAGTGGGTATTCTAGGAAGATCCAGTGTTTCCCTACTCTCACTTTGCATTACACACAATCCGGGGGGTGACTCAGAATCCAGTGCTGTCCTGCCTCTCCCAGTTAGCTGACACCACTTTCTTGACTAGAGCCTTAGTTTTCTAGGCATATATTCTAATGATGGAACATTTTGAAATGCAGTTTATTTTTGAGTTTATTGAATTTTTTTAATAACACATCTGCTGCCCCTAAATTGTCATCTTTTATATTATAAGGTCTAGTTGCATTAGAAATAGCTCTCCCAACCCCACTCCCCCAGTGCTCAGAACACTGAACCCCGTACTACACTTGGAAAAGGATTGGATGTCCTAAAGCATTGGTTATGTAATTGTGGGTTGGCTTTCACCCACTGAGCTTTACGTCCTCCTGTGATAGTGAAATACAAGCTGGCAACAGTAATTAGATCTCAGAAAAGCTTGTCACAAAGCACCACAGACTGGAGAAACTTGTAAGCTCTTTTTGCACTGGCTGAAGTTTTTGAGTACCACTACCTTCCATCTGTAGAGTGTAGTAACCTTAGACAGGTAGTGCTTTTCTTCTGTGCATTAATTTTAATTAAGCAATGACACCTACTTTCTTTTCCACTCTGAGATCTGCATGTAGCTAAACTGATCAGGTGAGTGCTTTCCCACCTTTGATCATTGATACTGCTTGGAATATACTGGAAAAAGAGCAGCAAGCAGAAAATCTCCCGTTTCCACAAGCTGCTGACTAACCCAGAATTGCTAGATTTTGTGAAGCAAATGAATGCTATAAAAGAAGTCAAAAAAATCGGGGAAGATGTCCCTAGGACATGGTCAGGCCAAACCTTGAAAGATCAAGTGGTGTTACAGAGGTACAATTATAAGAATATATATCACTCAAGACTTACATATGTGTTAAACAGTGCATTGCTCTTTGCAGTCTACAAAGGATTTTCTTTTGAATTCTCACAACAATTCTGCAGAGAGAGGTAGTGAGAGGTTTAATGCTTTGTTCGACATAATTTGCTGTTAAATAGCCATCCATTGGCAGAAAATTTGAACTGTTGTGTTTTCTTTCCTGTGTCATTCATGGTTTCAGTCCTGAAGAGAAGCCCACTAGAGCCCAGCAGGAGAGGAGAGTGGGAGAATCCCTCACCCAAAAGTTCTCATTGGCATCATTTAGTGACACTCAGGATGTCTCCAGTTATTGTTAGAATTTAAAGTTAGGTTCATCCCTGTGAGGTCCAAGAAAATATAAAAATAAAATGAGGGTCTACCAGTATTAAACATACTCAGTAATCACTTTTGAAAGGAAAAGAGTTAGTGGAAAAAATGGAAGAACCACAGCAAAACTAAAATAAGTATATAGAGATATATTGCCAGACACGGTGGCTCACACCTGTAATCTCAACACTTTGGGAAGCTGAGGCAGCCGGATCACTTGAGGTCAGGAGTTCAAGACCAGCCTGGCCAACATGGTAAAACCCCGTCTCTACTAAAAATACAAACATTAGGCCGGGTGCCGTGGCTCACACCTATAATCCCAGCAGTTTGGGAGGCCGAGGTGGGCAGATGACCTGAGATCAGGAGTTCAAGAACAACAGCCTGGCCAACATGGTGAAACCCCATCTCTACTAAAAATACAAAATTTAGCCGGGCATGGTGGCCCATGCCTGTAGTCCCAGCTACAGGGAGGTTGAGGCAGGAGAATCGCTTGAACCCAGAAGACGGAGGTTGCAGTGATCCATGGTTGTGCCACTACACGCCAGCCTGGGTGACACAGCAAGACTCCGTCTCAAAAAAAATATATATATATATATATACACACACACACACACATACATATACACACCAACATTAACCGGGCATGGTGTCGTGTGCCAGTAATCCCAGCTACTTGGGAGGCTGAGGCAGGAGAATCGCTTGAACCCAGGAGGCGGAGGTACTGCACTGCAGCCTGGGTGACAGAGCAAGATTCCATCTCAAACAATATAGATAGACAGACAATGTTAGATAACTGCATAATTATTATATGTGTGTATTAATATATAAAGCAATCACTTTCAGAAGGAATAGTATGTTAAAAAAAGGTAATGAAAGATTTTAAAACAAAACACTTCATGAGACAAGAAGTTAGAACAATTACGACAGACTAAAAGAAGAAGCTGGGAATGAGATCGAATACAGCCAAGTATTTCCTGCAGTTTTAAAACCTCTACTCCCCATTTTTGGTTTCTGGCCACAGATTATGTAATATTTTTCATTACTTGAACTGGAATTACAAAGATTGATACAGAAGGTGGTCTGATAAGTCGACTGGGTCCTGCTCCTTGTATGTCTTAGGTCCAAACCAAAATGAGTCAATATTTGGACAAGATATCAGCCATGCAGGGCTTATAGGCAGGTAAAGGAGATGGCCCATTATTACAGGGATTTCAAACCAGGCTTAGTATTCTCTTACCCTGGCACTGCCAATTATATTTATTTATTGGAAAATGATAACCTTAGAGTTAAGCTATATGCTTACAAAAGAGGCACTGCTTATATGAGTTCTATCATGTCCAGGTTTACATTGCCCATTAGAAAACAGAACACCTGACCTGGTGCAGCAACTCATGTCTGTAATCCCAGCACTTTGGGAGGTCAAGGAGGGAGGATCGCTTGAGCCCAGGAGGTCAAGGCAGCATGAGCTGTGTTAACACCACTGCACTAGACCCTGTAAAAAAAAAAAAAAAAAAAAAGAAAAAAGTGGGGCGGGTGTGGCGAGAGAGAGGAGGGGAGGGGAGAGGGCACCTGATCAGACTCCTCTGAAGAGGGACTTGAAAAGTTTGTCACAAGCCCTGAGTTATTCTGATGGAACAGAGAATTGTTAGATCACAGAATGCAAAGTAACCTACTGCATTTAGCCCTTCAGTCTTTGGCCTAGCTGTAGGCCATTAAGTTGAATAGTGCTGGGAATCGTTAAGAATATAATGGTCAAAAAGGACAGGCAAAGTTGTTTCCCTTCTGGAGCTTACACTTTAATGGGGGAGATAGATGATAAGCAAGTAAAAGTAATTGAACAAGGCAATTGCAAATGCCACCCTCAGTGAGCTCTTGAAAGACAAATTATTTCACCTGCATGCCACAAATACACAGGTGAATGTCTGTGCCTTGAGAAATGCATAAAAGTGACTGAACTTTTGAGGTCCACTGACTGGGCTTTTGTTTGATATTTACTGCTAGTGAATTTTCCAGCCTGCAAATGTCTTAGAACTTCTAAATGCATTTTTTTTTTTCGTTTAGGTTGCAGAGAACACATCTTAGAAGATGAAAAACCTGAATCTATCAGTGACACTACTGACTTGGCTCTACCACCTGAAATGCCGATTTTGATTGATTTCCATGCTCTGAAAGACATCCTTGGGCCCCCGATGTATGAAATGGAGGTGATCAATTTCTTTTCTTTTTCTTTGCTTTTTGCTCCAGTCAATGAAAGGAACACTTTATTGAGGCCCCAGGGCCATAGGGCCTGGGCAGGAGGCTGCCCTTTGGGGAAGGAAGAGCCTTATTTGACCTTTTTGGTACGTAGGTTGTTGGTGTGGCCACACTTCTTGCAATAGTTGACAGCATGGGGGCGCAGGCAAGCACAGCTCTTGTGGCAGATCATCTTGTCACAGTTGTATTTCTGGGCAAGGTGGCAGAGGGAAGGCTCCATAATGCCACCTCGCAGGCGCAGCATCAGGTGCCGCAGGGTGGACTCTTTCTGGATGTTGTAGTCTGAGAGAGTGCGGCCATCCTCCAGCTATTTGCCCTCAAATTATCAGACACTGCTGGTCAGGTAGGATGCCCTACTTGTCTTGAATTTTGGCTTTGGCATTCTCAGTGGCGTCACTCGGCTCGACCTCAAGGGCGATGGTCTTGCCTGTGAGGGTCTTCACAAAGATCCACATCTCAGCGTCTGCGGCTCGGCGAGTCTCGCTCCATTCTCCTTTTTTTCATTGGTACTCACTGATTCTCTCAGGTGGTTGCTTAACAGAGAAGTAGAATTGGGTGTTTCCAGAGGCTGAATTTTGCCTTAAGATAGAAACTTTATTTCTGTATGGTATTGCGTTTTAGTGCTTAATGTGATAATATGACTGTTGCCAGGTGCCAGAGATCCCAGCCATATCCTCTTTTAGAACCCCAGTCTCATTTTATTCTCTACCATTCAGTTCCTTTTTAAGAACAATGCCTCTGACTCTTCTCCTTAGAAAAATTCCATATTCTTATGTGTACTTTAATGAGGGATTTCTTTGTGCTGCTATCAAGGGCTTGGGGGAAGAGGCAGAGAATCAACCTGATACAGGTGTGGAAACATGAGCATAGCTTAGCTTCAGACTGTGCTAGTGCAGACCCAGATGACATCTTTCAGGAACCTATTGTCCCATTGTTAATAGTTCCTTTAGGGTTAAACCCACATGCAGGTCTAGCCCTGTTTTCATCTTTCTCTCCTAACTATACCTCACAGCAGAAGGCCTGAGCGCCAAGACTGAGTTGAGGCAACTGATGGAAATAGATGTTAGAATATAACTGCGAAGGGTGTTGTGAAATAATTTATAGGGTGCTTAGATGAGCCTTCATAGGTTGGTTACTATAAAAATGTTTGTATTATACTACTGAATTTGGCTTTATCATCACCTCCTTATCAGTTTAAGGAAAAAATATTTTCAGAAACTCTGATAAATTATGCAGAAGATAATCTCTCCATCTAACATTTGAAATCATTACCAGTAGATAGGTTTTCCTCAAGTTCTTAAACTGAGTTGATGAGAAATAGCCCCCAAGCCTGTCTTGTTTATCCATTTAAACTCTAAGCTGGTCATTAAAGCTAATGAGCCTCTCTCAGAGCTCTCAGTTACAAGAATAGAACTTGTTTACTCTTGACAGTAAATCTGGACTCGAACAATAGAATCAGAAGCATTGTTTTGATTATTTGAATTCTTAAGATATCATGGATTTGAATTTTGAAGTGTTGAAAGAACTTGAGCAAAACATTGTTGATTGAGAAAGTGAACAAAACCCGCTTTCTCATTCTGGGAGGATCCAGTGACTTTGAGAGTGAAGACACAAACAGGTTTTGACTCCTGCATGGCCGATGGCCTTTTTCTCTAGGCTTCCAGAAAACTACATTCCAACAGTTCTTTGAGGATTTAAACTAGAGCAGCAAATAAAGACAAAAGATTAATGCATGTCTCTGTTGCATATACCCCTCTCGCCCAGCCATTTCTGCTGATGTTAAGTTTGGGAGCATTGCTGACATTCCTGGAGCATTAGCAAAGAAAGAGCCAAGAGAACAGAAATGAGAAATTTTATAAACATTGCTTACCAGCTCTCATTGTTAGCATCAGAGAACCTTATTTTCCTTGTAGCATGTGAGCTTTACGTAGTAGCACTTTTACCAAGGAGAGTCTGCAGAAAGACTCCAGTAGCCATTTTGTCTTTTATTAATAGCATCTTAGAATGGAAGATGTGGTGTGTCACATGCGTCCATGTGAAGAGCCCACCAACCAGGCTTTGTGTGAGCAACAAGGCTGTTTATTTCACCTGGGTGCAGGCGGGCTGAGTCCGAAAAGAGGCAACGAAGGGAGATAGGGGTGGGGTTGTTTTATAGGATTTGGGTGGGTAGTGGAAAATTACATTCAAAGGGGGTTGTTCTCTTGCTGGCAGGGGCAGGGGTCACAAGGTACTCAGCTGGGGAGCTTCTGAGCCAGGAGAAGGAATTTCACAAGGTTAATCGCTCAGTTAAGGTGGGGCAGGAACAGATCACAATGGTGGAATGTCATCAGTTAAGGCAGGAACCAACCATTTTCACTTCTTTTGTGATTCTTCACTTGCTCCAGGCCATCTGGATGTATACGTGCAGATCACAGGGGATATGATGGCTTAACTTGGGCTCAGAGGCCTGACATGGTGTTTGAGTGTTGGGAACATTGTGTTCATTTTTTTCATGCTTGAAAGTGAGAACTCACCCTGTAGCCTGGGGTCTGTCTCTATGACCACCAGCCCCAAATTACTTAACCACACAGTCTACCTCTGCTTTTGTGTCTATAAAATGAAGACTTATAGAACATTTCTTTCTTGCCCATGAGGGCTGTCACTGTGCTAGGAGTATAATTCCATTTTACATACAAGGGAAAAGTTTAAAGAGATTAAATGAGTTGTACAAATTCACATAAAGTGCAGTTGGTAGAGTTGGAATTCAGACTCAGATCAGCTTATTCCAAGTCCATTATTCTTTCTCCCCTTCTACAGCACCCTGTCAGGTCAAGATAATTCCTGCCCTTGGCTGCTAGAAGAGAGTGGCAGTGATATATTAGAGTTTTTTAAAAAGGCATCTGCTCTACATCAGATTCTCATTCATATTCTTACCAACTCTAGTGCTCTGCTTTGGAATGGGAGAGGCTGGGCTCAACTTGTTGACCACTACCATTTTTGTATCTCTTGGCTGTCAGGCACTGTGCAAGGCCCTCCACAAGTGATCATTTAATCCTCGGTCATGGTTGTCTTTCCAGTAACAGTTGAGGAAACAGGCTTAGAGTATTTAAATAACTCGAGAGAAGACACAACTTATGCCAGAAATGAGATTTGGTTCTAGGCCTGACCAACTCCAAACCTAGTGCTCTATTACTCTAGAAAAACGTCACAGGCAACCTGAGCAGGGCCTCTGTTCTTTGCAGAGAGCTCACAGGTGGACCTGAGCAGGGCCTCTGTTCTTTGCAGAGAGCTCACAGGTGGACCTGAGCAGGGCCTCTGTTCTTTGCAGAGAGCTCACAGGTGGACCTGAGCAGGGCCTCTGTTCTTTGCGCTTCACAAGTGGCCAGTCTTATTTCTCTATTTCTTTGTGCTTTCCTAGGCAAAGAATCTGAAGAGAGAGGTTATACTAGGAATATTGGAATACATGTTGAGGTGTTCGCAAGATGTTACAAGATACCTTTCGTTTGTTTGTTTTTACTTTTTATTTTTTGAGATGAGGTCTCACTCTATCACCTAGGCTGGAGTGCAGTGGCATGATCGTAGCTCACTGCAACCTCCAACTCCTGGGCTCAAGCTATTCTCCCACCTCAGCCTCCTGAGTAGCTGGGACCACAGGCGTGTGCTACCATACCCAGCTAATTTTTTCTGTATTTTTTTGTAGAGATGGGGTTTCACCATGTTGTCCTATACTGGTGTCAAACTCCTGAGCTCAAGCCATCCACCTGCCTCAGCCTCCCAAAGTGCTGGAATTACAGGCATGAGCCACCAAACCCAGCCGATACCTTTTTTTGTCTAAATGCCTATATTCTCCCTTAGGGTAAATTACAGTCTAGGGTCTGTGGTTTCTTCTAGAAAGAGTTTCATTCATTTAATAAATACCTATTAAGGACCTAACATGTGCTTCTGGCAATACAGTAGTAAATAAGCAAAGTATGATGTCTGCCTTCATGGATCCCACTTTAGTGCAGGAAAAAACATCGACAGGTAAACAAATAATCACAAATTGAAGTTGATGCTATAGAGAAAACAAACGGTGGTACTGAGATAGACAGTAACTACTCTAGCTATATCTGAGGTCTGTTTTAGAGGTAGAAGTAGACATGCTGATGGGAAACAATTGGGGAATGAAGGAAAGTTATCAAAAGGGACTTATGGGTTTCTGGCCAGAGTGACAGGGTATGTGTGTAGTAGTGCCGTTTACTGAGATGGGGAAGACTGGGGGAGGGAGATGGGAAGGGAGTGTTGCAAAGAAAACTGGGGGCTCTTTTGAACACATTAAGGTTGAAATATCCAGGCCAGGCGTGGTGGCTCATGCCTGTAATCCCAGCACTTTGGGAGGCTGAGGCAGGTGGATTGCTTGAGTCCTGGAGTTCAAGACCAGCCTGGGCAACATGGCAAAATCCCTTCTCTACAAAAAATACAAAAATTAGCTGGGTGTGGTGGCTCACGCCTGTAGTCACAACTACTTGGGAGGCTGAGATGGGAGGATCACTTGAGCCTGGGAGACAGAGGATGCAGTGAGCCAAGATCACACCACTGTACTCCAGCCTGAGCGACAGAACAAGACCCTGTCTCAAAAAAATAAAATAAAAGTTTGAAATATTGGCGAGGCATAGAAGTAGAGATATTTGGACATTCAGATCTATGGCTCCGAGGAAAAACCCAAGATGGAGATATAGATTATAGGGTTATCAGAAAGTAGAGGATATTTAGAGCCCCAGAAATTGAGGCTTTGACATCACCTAAGAAAAAAGGAGACATAAGAAAGCAGGTAGCCTAGAAGCAAGCCCTGAAGTACAGCATTATTTAGGGATCATATAGAGAGAAGAGGAGCCAACAAAGAAGTCAGGAAAAACAGAAAGGGACTGGGAAGGAACAAGCCTTCAGGGAAGAGGAAAACCAGGATGTTGTGCTGCCGTAGAGACAGAAGAGG